TACATATTATTTGGTAGTTGTAAATTTTTTATAATGAGACAAGCGGTCCGACCCAACTTCGCACGGGTGATTTCTGGATCTCGACAACAGCGCCACCTATTGGGTTCGATTGTGAATTTAAACCATCTAGGGACCCACTCAAACACCAGAAGGAAGTTAGCGTAGAACATTATTTTTTAATTAAACTGTATGCCAATTAATTGCTCCTTAAATGCACCAGTAGAATCCGTAATTGCTCCACGTCTATTGCTATTAGTTATGTTAATCGCTTAGCGGTTAGCCACCGTAGAGTCTATATCACCTGAGGATGCCTCGTGTAGAGGTGAAACACGTGTCGTATTGTCGTCAGTGGTGTGTCTTTCCTAGTGTAGTGGTGTTGGGAGTAGTGGTGCTGGGATTAGTGGTGACGGGGATAGTGCGCGCAATTGAGGGACGTCGGGAGGTGCTCTTCAAACTAGGTAAGATATATCATTTTCTTTTATCTAGCGGATGTATGAAAAGTAATTTTTTTTGTCAAATTTAATATAATGGAGTTCCTCAAAGTAACGCCTGATTCTATTAATTGTCATAAAATTAAATTTTCAATAATTCAATTTTTAAAAAATTAATTATAAATTAAGTAATAGCAATAGACGTAGAGCAATTACGGATTCTACTGGAGCATTTAAGGAGCAATTAATTGGTGTATAGTTTAATTTTAAAAAGGAGATATTTTATGTTTTATAGAAAAATAGTAAAATTAAATTTTCGATAATTCAATTTTTAAAAACTTAATTATCAGTTAGGTAATAGCAATAGACGTGGAGAAATTACGGATTCTACTGGAGTAATTAATTGGTGCATAGTTTAATTTAAAAAAAGTAGATATTTTATGTTTTATAGCAAAATTAAATTATCGATAGTTAAATTTTTGAAAAAATCAATTATAAAATAACTAATAGCAATAGATGTGGAACAATTACAGATTCTACTGGAGCATTTAAGGAGCATTTAATTGGCATACAGTTTAATTTTAAAAAGGAGATATTATATGTTTTAAAGCAAAATTAAATTATCGATAGTTAAATATTTGAAAAAATCAATTATAAAATAACTAATAGCAATAGATGTGGAACAATTACAGATTCTACTGGAGCAATTAATTGGTGCATAGTTTAATTTAAAAAGTAGATATTTTATGTTTTATAGCAAAATTAAATTATCGATAGTTAAATTTTTAAAAAAATCAATTATAAAATAACTAATAGCAATAGATGTGGAACAATTACAGATTCTACTGGAGCAATTAATTGGTACATAGTTTAATTTAAAAAGTAGATATTTTATGTTTTATAGCAAAATTAAATTATCGATAGTTAAATTTTTGAAAAAATCAATTATAAAATAACTAATAGCAATAGATGTGGAACAATTACAGATTCTACTGGAGCATTTAAGGAGCATTTAATTGGCATACAGTTTAATTTTAAAAGGAGATATTTTATGTTTTATAGCAAAATTAAATTTTCGATAATAATTTTTTTAAATTAATTATAAATTAACTAATAGCAATAGACGTGGAGCAATTATGGATTCTACTGGAGCATTTAAGGAGCAATTAATTGGCATACAGTATAATTTAAAAAAAAAGTTCTGCGCTAACTTCCTTCTGGTCACTCAAACACACAAAAAATCATCAAAATCGGTCTGGTGGACGGTCTAACGGACAACAATTGATTTTTATTTAGAGAGATTATACCAAGTTAAATTTGTGATTGTTGATTGTGATAGTTTTATTTCATTGTTGTTAATGATTCGTAGTTGTAATAGTTTGTTCAAAATATTCACATTTTGAAATTTAACATGTTTCATTATTGAAATATCCGTGTATTTTGTTGATAGAGTGTCTCTATTATGATTGCAGCACGAATGGGTCGCCTGGACCGGAGGAAGATAATGCTCTCACAGAATACAGGCTTGAAATAGCAACTTGTGAAAAATGCGGCTAAATTTGTTCTTAGATTTTAATTTAGACCCTTTTTACCATTAACAAGACTTTCTATCGATGTTCGCAGGGGTGAAGTGACGATGCTTCTATATTTTAATTCTTAATTGAAGATACTTAGATATAGATGTCTATGGGCCGCAGGATCCACTACATCGGGGGTGGACTGTTAGCTCGTTTGTCACCCTTATTCTATAAAAAATACACCTTGATCCTCGCACCTATGACGCATTATCACATCAGCGATCTGGGTTTTTTTCTCTGATTTACGAAACGGTATACCGCCATGTTTTGGAGGTTACGAGGTCTTTATAGCCGTTTATTAGTGATTTAGTCACACGATGTCCCATCAACGTGACGAAACGGGGTGATGAATATTGTAAGGTAAATTAGTGGCATCTGTCGCTCATTTATTTTAATGTATTTTTAAATTACGTATTTATATATACCTACTTACTAAAAAAATATCAGCACCTTATAAATAACCACAATGGCAACGGGGAAAGGAAGCAGAAAGTGGCGACTGGTTCTGCAATCGATTACATGACAAATTGTTTATTATTGGGAAAATTTCTGTTAGTGGACTCGGTGAACAATAATGGGCTAGTGACGAATATTGTGTATAGCGAATGTTTGTTTTAGACAAAAAATAAAAAGTAAACTGTAGAAAAATGTCTTTATTTATCACTCTCATTAAGGGCGTTACATATTAATGTATCTATTTCACTGAGAATAGTCGTGTATTAGTATCTTAACACTAAAATACCAGTCCATATTGTAATTACGTGGATCTATAGACATTAACTACTTATTTCTAGGAATCATTCCGCTTATCGCTTAGGTACCTACCCTAAATATTTCGGTTATTGTGGACAACATAGGTTCTTTTATTTAAGATACCATAGTACATTTTTGAAAAGCATATTCAGTAAAATCTTTATATAGAATATTCTTAACTTTAAATATTAATGAATACTATATAATATTATAATGAATGAGAACGTGGATTCATTAAATTGATTGACATGAGATATCATGAATGTACTCTACTTGTAATTGTTGTTAAGTTAAATATATGTATCTATTTTCAGAACTATAATGGTAGGTCCACCAATAATAGATCGATAATTAAATTTTATCTAACATTACTCACTAAATTTATCATTCATAAGGTTATAAATTATTACTTTTTAATAAATAAGCACCTTTATTAAGTTCTTCAACGAGAACAAAATATATCCTTATCTAGGTTTATTAGATAATAACGGTAAATTAATGTTGAATAATATACCTTTTAAAATATTATTAGGTATGCATTAGTCTAAAAGTAGTGTGATATCACATTGTTGTAGTAAAACACCAATATATTTTAATATAATAAGTAGATTTTCTTGCAGTAGATAGGTAAATACCTACAATAAATTTACGATTATACACTTTTTAAAATATATTGTCTGTTATATTTTATTGTCATTCAGTTTAATGTTATGTAAAAACATGATCAAATTTCTTATAAGATATACAAAACATTCGTTGCAAATAACTAATCTTGACCTGATTCTGATTCAAATAGCTAACAAATAACTATCGATACTGAAATTTTTCAAGCGTTTTACAAAAACGAATTTCGTCATCTCTTAAAATCATATTTATCATGAACTAGAAAATGTCGCAATTAACTCCCTATTTCTTATTTTATATTTGTAATTAAACAATACAATGATTGATAGATGTTATAAGTTAGTACATTTTATGAAAGTAAATTAAATAAAAGTGACGATAAAATGTCTACAGGCTAAGAACGTAACATTAGAAAATTATGAATTAAAGAAATATTTTCCAGAATTTGATTATAAACTACAGTGACAATGCCTTCAATGCATTTTTTGTTTAACAGTACGGACTTACAGCTTATGGATGGAATAATACATTGTTTTAGATTTGCACGTACTTCGTACTTAACTATATAAAGTTAAAGTTATATGCATAACTCTAAGTATAATATAAAAATAATTTAAATTAAATATTCTTTAAATAGTAGTTAAATAAACTAAAACGCTAAATCATTTACCAAACAGCAAAATAACTGAAAATTTTAAGCATTACATATCAAGCAATTATTACTAATTAGATACATTAAGTAAGTACAAAAAATTGAAAAGTATCCACCGATTAAAATTTATCAATGTCTAATATACTCGTAAGCTCTCAAAGAACTAAATAAACATACACTATGAATAGCATATTATACAATGATTGTTATAGATATAGCTTGCTTCAAAACCACAAGCTAAAAATAAATTGTATAAATATCAAATTTCATTGTAGAACTGACTTAAGTGAGTGAAATTGTTATGCCATTTTATAAATATTAATTTGGGCAGATTGTCTAAAATGTGCAAGCGGTTATGATATTTAGTAAATTAAATAAGAATATTAAGTAAATTGTAAAACATAATAAACTCATGAATTTTATTTACAAGTCACTTGGAAACTACTTGGAGCACTTTATCAAATTTTTACATCATCGCTACAGTTATTTACAATTTCGCTTTGACTTAGAAAAACAACTAACTAAAATAATTTTTCCAAATTAAAAGCGACTTATCAAATGAAACTTACCTCAGAAATTATATATGTTTTAAAATAAATATTTGGCATATAAAAATTGCAAATATTTTAAAAATTTTGTTAAAAACTGATAGGTTCGTCAAAGACTGATAAATATTTATTACTGTCTAAAAATATAAGACAATTTTACAAATCATATTGCTAACAAAAGTCGCGATGAATTATTAACATCGAGACAATTTAGAGACAAATGCATGCGTTGATGATGAAATTAAAACATATATTTGCGAAAAATGTAAAAGCAACTGCAAAGCAAAATAAATAAGTGCATTAAAAAGATGTCAGATCAGTACCATGATGACCCATTAAAATCAAATTTAATTTTCTAAACGCGTAAGCTCGATACGAGCCAGTTATTTAAAACCTATTTAGCACCATATACGTTTTAAGGATAGAAATTCTGAAGAGCATCAGAGTATAAAGAGTTGTATGTATCTCTCAGAACATATACGCTATCACCTGGTTTGCCATTAAAAACAAACTGGCCCTTAAGGTTTGTTATCTTCGAATTAGTTGGTGCCGGTTTCGGTTTTGGCTTTGTATATGTCGGGGTGTTGTAGGTCGGTCTTGGAGCTGGAGGCATTATTGCTTGCGAAGATCCATATCCGAATGGATCGACAGACTCCATTTGTGAAGGGTAACCGGAAGGACCACTCCATTGATACACGCCAGTTGGTTTTCCATTTGAAACGAAGTCCAGGGGCAGGTTAATAAAAGGATCAGCCATTTGTGGGGGAACACCTTGAGGCATAAGCGGTGACATAGACGGACCAAGAGAAGGAGGCTGCGACACATATCCTAATCCAGGAACAAACATATACGGCGTAGGTGGCAACCTGATGTAGAAGATAGGTGAATTGTCATATTGCAGGGAGTTTATGTTATCGTTTTGATACGTGTTTGCATTTCCATTTTTCTTCTTATTTTGTTGCTGTCTGCGGGTAGACGGAATAGTTCTTGATAAGTCCTCATCGTCAAAACTGTCGTCATTTACTGAGAAAGTGACATCGTCGTCATCATCAGCGTAGTCGAGACCAGAGGACATGAAAGGAGGGAAGTAGCCAAATAAATTCAATGCCTTGTTTCTTCTATGCGTCGGTTCCGGTGCGCTTGTAGTAACGTCTTCTTTGTATTTTTCTTCAAGTTTGCTTTGGCGAATTGGTAGTTCCTCAGAAGGTATCGAAGCTTCACGTGATTTTCTCGATCTTGGAGCACTTTGACTGGGCCACACCAGCGCCATAAGGATCAGCATGAATAAGATGCTCAATTTCGCCATTTTTAAATCTGAAAAGAGGAAAGAATATTTGTTAAAACAGTTTAAAGTTTGACTTTCATGAGATGATTGGCCTGATTTCTGCCTAGTAGGCAGCCTAGGCTGATACCACCCTTTTAACAATTCCCTCCGCCAAATAACTACTACTTTGTTCTTTTTTGAAGGATAAGTAGGCCACAGTTTATTTTATATTAGCCCTCGGAGGTGGTAAAAAAATCTGAGGCTTTCTATATTTAAAGTTGATATAGGCTAACTGTAACCATTAAGCATCAGATGAACTACTTCGTTTGTCATTCTAATACTATTTAAAAAAAAAACTCACCACATTTACTAACAAAGTAATAGACTGATCTAAATAGAAGTGAATTCAGTATTCGAAACATTCTATGTGCTGCGGACGATTTAGAGATAAGATAGAATAGAGAACATAGAAAAGACTAATCATTGCCGAAAATTGTTTTTTTTTATAAGGTAGGGTGACAAACGAGCACACATTCTACCTGATGGTAAGTAGTTGCTGTGACCCATAGACATCCACATATATCCTCAATAAAGAATCAAAATGCAGATGCGCTGTCACCCGTGAGGACTAAGATGGAATGCCTCTTTTCCAGTAATAAGAGTCTCCGGTTCTTTACACTCACCATACGAAATACAGCAACGTTAAACTGCTATTTTACGCTGGTATTCTGTGAGAGCGTGGTCCTTCAACGGTCGAGCCGACCCATTCGTGCTACAACTATACAACTAATATTGCTGCAGCATGGCTCTATCATGCCTGTTTTTGTACATTTAATATGTTCTATTTGATGAATGTTGATTATGATGGTGTAGTAGCGATGTAAGTATATCCACTATCCCATATCGTCCCGTGGGTGTCGCAAAAGGCGACAGAGGGAAACGAACCAGGACATGGACAGCGGCGTCTTTCTTATAACAACTAAAAAACGCGCCTGCCAAGTGTGGCAACAATGGTTTATATCCACCTGTCAATTGATGAGGAGGCCTATATTCAGCTATGGACTTTTGATAGGCTAAACGGTTAGCTTATGATGATAGCAGCGTTTAAAATATAGGTATCGGGCTATGGTTTTTACGTGGTAGAGCCATACTGCCGCTATATTAGTAGTATAGTTGTAGCACGAATGGGTCGACTCGACCGGGGAAGGACCACGCTCTCAGAGAATACCAGCGTAAGCATATATATATAATAGCAGCTTAACACTGCTCTGTTTCGTACGGTGAGTGTAGAGAACCGGAGACCGTTTTTACTGGAAACGAGGCATTCCATCTTAGTGCTCACGGGTGACAACGCATCTGCATTTTGATTAGCATACGAGGATAGATATAGATATCTATGGGCCACAGCAACCACTTACCATCAGGTGGACTATGTGCTCATTAGTCACCCTATCTTATAAAAAAAAATGTCATGATGAAGGTGACTTGTGCTCACTTTCAAGATTAAATGAATTTTGTACAATAATTTAATCGTTTATTGTCACGATACAATAGTCGCTGCTAAAATGGTTAAACCAAAAATTAACTAAACGAGTTTATCACGTGCTCAGGGGTTAATGGGAATATCATTAGTAAATATACATCCCGATTTCCAGCAATTTATTTTCGACTGATTCTCCTCACTCTTCTCCTCACAAACACCAAACTTCAACCCAGGAGTGAAAGATTTACAGTTAATAATTTACACACACACACACAAACACTCACGCCTGTCACCCAGAGGGGTAGGCAGAGACTACGAACTTCCATTTGGCGCGATCCTGACACGTCTCTCTCGCCTCCTTTACATCCATATGATACACACTCGTCGGTTAAGGGTACTCCTAATCTGGCCGATTTTCAATGTATCGCCGATTTGGTCGATAAACCTTCGTTCAGGGCGTGCCTTCCCGACTTTGCCGTTAACTTCTGCAACATAAATTTGCTTTGTCACTCTTTCCTCGTTCATTCTTTCTACATGACCAAACCATATATGAATAATTTAATAGATTTAAAAAGGGAACTGGAGATAAAGAACGCCACAAGAAAATCCAAGTTAACGATTTTTTTATTTATTCTTTTATTTTTTTATTAAAAAACGTTTTTAAAAAAAAAATTAATAAATATTTTCATTAAATTTATTATTTCATCCCGTTTTTTTATATTCCAAGCAGCAACCAAATTATCTGATATGTAATCAGTAATTTAATGTACCAAAAGTTTGAATATTTTCAATCTGTGACTGGGAGGTGATCTTGTTACATTTACAATTAATTTAAATTATAACCAAAAATGTAAATTTAAATTGCCGTTAATGCTGATAAAGCGGTCACTCATCTCATAACAAATCGTGCGTAACATTAATTTATCTACTTCATGATCTTAATTACCGGAGTGAGTGATTTCTATTACTTCAGAATAAAACATTGGTAGCAAAACAGGTAACTAAAGACAGACATTAAGATTCAGAAATCAAAACACTTAAAAAAGTTTAATCTTAATGGCGATATTTAAACACGTAATAGCACCTAAAACGTCGCCGTAATCTTGTATTTAGTTGCGACCAAATTGCTTTGATTTTCATATTATAAATGTCCGTCAATAACAAAATTTGAAAAAAGAGCTTACTTCGGTACAAACGATGATCAAGGTTGTAAAAGAGGTGAGATCTTAACCAATACCAAGTTCTGAAGCAGTTCCTTAAATATTACATTCATATAGCGGTGGTAGCTCAGATGGTTAGCGCTCGCTGTAAGCTTCACAGTACGCGAGCAACCTGGGTTCGATCTTCGCCGGCACCAATGAAATCGTTAATTGCAGTTTTAAGTGCTGACTTATCACGTGCTCGGAGGTGAAGGAAAACATCGTGAGGAAACCTGCATGTCTGAGAAATAAGAAAAAAATATTTCAAAGACATGTGAAGTTCGCCAACACGCATTGGGGTAGCGCGGTGGATACGAGTATTTCCTTGCCCTAAAACCCTCTCAGAAATGAGAGGAGGCCTGTACACAGCAGTGGGACGTAAATAGGCTGCAACTTTACTTTATAGGAATGTACAATGTGACTTAAAATAATTTGTTACTTAAGTTCTTTGATATTGAATTTATTACTTGGCAAGTTTTAATGGAAAATTACGCTTACCGTTACAGCCTATCAAAAGTCCACTGTTGAACACAGGCCTCCCCCATAGATTGTCTCACAAGAATTTGCCATAGTTGCCATACTTGGCAGGCGGGTCGGCAATCGTAGTTTTTAATTTTTGATTGTAATCAGGGAGACGCTGCTGTCCATCTCCTGGGTTTTCTCTCTGTCGTCACTTACTACACCTACGGAACGATATGTGTTGTTGGATATTATTACGCCGCCACTACACGGTAAAAAAAAATTGTGATGATATTAAATACAAACTTAATTTTTTAGTTGTTCTATATTATATTTTTTTTATAGGATAGGGTGACAAACGAGCACACAGTACACCTGATGGTAAGTGGTTGCTGTGGCCTATAAACATCTACATCAATCCTCGTTTGCGAATCAAAATGCAGATGCGTTGTCACCCGTACCCGTGAGGACTAAGATGGAATGTCTCTTTTCCTGTAAAAAAGGTCTCCGGTTCTCTACACTCACCATACGAAATACAGCAGCATTGGGCTGCTATTTTACGCTGGTATTCTGTGAGAGCGTGGTCCTTCCCCGGTCGAGCCGACCCATTCGTGCTATAACTATACTACTAATATAGCTGCAGCATGGGTCTACCACGTATAAAATATGAATACAATTTAGAGTATAAAACTTGCCAAACTACAAATTTTCTACTAGTAACATGAAAGTACTAGCTATAGATAGTATCTACATATTGTTAAAAAATATGCTTTAGTATCATTATAATTTTATTCCCGGATATCCTCTTAAAACTATTTCATTTAGACCAGTGCTTTATTTTTTAGAAATTGGACGTTTAAATGAAAACGTCAAGATAAATGGTTACATAAATTACCTTCTTTAAACTGCCTGAATGTTAATGTGTTCATTTCCTTAGTGTTTGTTTAGATTTATGCTTTATTTTCCACAACCGTTTAATGTTCAAGCAGTTAAGTCTGCTAGACAATAATTATTCGCGCCTTAAGGTTTAAGCTTTAAGAAACTGTAAGAATGATGGAAGCTTTTAAATTTAATGGAAATAATTTTTTAAAAATTAAACATTTAGAACAGTGAAATAACCCAAACAAATGTTTCAAGGATCGCGGCAGACTTCTTACCTGCTCCAAAACAGTCTTAAAAATTAAAGGAGGCTTGTGCCTTCATCACAGGGACGTACATAATATGTATAGGTAGGTTGTTAATAAACTTTATACCCTTATCTATCGAAGGACATTAGATGTTTCTGATGTGTTCCATGGTCACATTTTATGACACCCAAGCAATGAACTCTGAAAACCCGACTACTTAATCAAACAAATACACACTGCAACAACCGGTCAGATTGAGGTAATATTTATTTTTATATTACTTCGTTCTGTTGAGACGATTGTTCATAGCTATACTAAGGTCTTATAGATGCAATTAAGTCATTGAGAAATTCTATATCTACGGAGCAAAATTATCATATTCACACCTTGTTTTATAAAACCGAAGTGACAACTAAAATGAATTTCCCCTCTACTTGCTGTAAACGCTATAATAGTACTGGGCAAAATTTTTATTCACGAACCAAACAACACAATCATGCATTTGGAAGTACATAGTCAAAGTTATTTCATGCTATCTGAAGTAAATTAATCTCCTTATTTCACAAAAGCAAATTTAGTTTACTCTATGTCTTTCGAAGCTTTTCATTTCACACACTCAGTACTACACGAGTGGCGAACAAATCAGTTATAAAAACACCTGGTAAGCTGTATAAGTGACAGATATTAAATTATCATAAAAATACAGAAAATTCTACTTCGTCTATCCGTCACTGAGTTGGGTGGATTTGGTCTAGTCTAGTCTAGTCTCCTGCA